TTGTTATAAATATTATATATTTTTCATGAATTTTATAAATTAACGTGCTGAAAAGTGAGAAAAGTTTATTATATTTGGAAATATATTAATTTAATTTTGAACTAATAATATGAACAAATTTTAACACAATAGTTTTCGTTTTTTTTTTGCTTTTCTTTTTTTATTTTTTCTAATAAGAAATTTCACCTAAATGAAAGTGCTTGCAACGAGAATCTAAGTTGCAGCCGTAGCAACTTAGCCTGTTGAAGCGAATAGTACTAGGTTTATTTCTAGTTAAATTATTCGTTTTCCTTAACCTCGTATTCATTTTCACTAATTAAAAAATAATACTCAATTAATGCCAATTTAAATTTTTTACTTACTTTGTTAAGTATTCCCATTGAAAATTCTTACCTTTATTCATATATTTGGTTTATTTTCAATAAATAAATTTTTTGACGTTTGTCAAATTTGAAGGTTTAGTTAAAAGTTTACGTGCACCACGTTGTGTGCAGTTTTTTGTTTTTGAAATTTTTTTGCGAACAGAGGACGTTACATTCCAGGGTACGTTACATCATATAATATTTGATATTTTAACGTATACGATATAAAAATATTTATTTATTATTATAAGATATTAGAAAGAATTTATAACTTAATATTTGTAGCTATCATTATCGAAGGAAAAGTTTATATTTTTTATTTCATATCATGCCAGGGGAGATACATCAAAAAAGGTACTATAGGTTTTTTCCCATTAATTGTATTTTATTTCAAAATATGATTTTTTATGAAGAAATTAATTATTACCAACTTAAAGCTGGATAAAAATACTTGATAACCAACATAAAAGAAAAATTTTTTTCTATTAATAATTTCTTTTACGAAATAATTTTTTTTGAGTCTGTTGGAACATCAAAAGTGTAAGACATCGTTAAAAGAAGTGTAAATATTTTATTCATGAATATTTTACTTCATTCAATGTATTTTCATGTTCGTTTGGATGTATAGAAAAAGTACGTATAATTGAAAAGTTCCAAAAAGCACTTGAAGACAGCCAGGGGACGTTACATTTCACACTTCAATCTACTCTCACATCTTATGAACTAAATATTTGCAATTTCTGAAAATAGAATGAGTAAATATACTATTATTTAACATGTATCACCATTATTAGCAACATAAACATTTTTTTTTCATATGACCCTCTTACACAATAAATAAAAAAATAGTTAATAGTAAACAATCTAATAATTTTATTTCTATATATATATTTATCATAAAAACTTCCGAAAGTTTCTATTCCTTATAATAATATCTATTTTCAATTATTATCAATCAATTATCGATTTAAAATTGTATTATTTATTGTAAAATAAGAATTTAAAGTATTGGAAACATATGGAAAGCTGTGTCAATTATTATTAGCCAGTAGTTGAACTTGACCTAAGATATAAAAATTGATTATGATTTAGTTACAAAAATGTTGTTAATCTAATCAAAATTTGGTAACAAAAATAACACTGTTTGCCAATTTTTGTATTTTCAGTTTCTATTAAATCTGTATTAATTAAAGTGTAATTATAAAATAATTAAATCATAATATGGAAAAGGAAATCACTAATTGAATTACTAAAGAAAAACCTTATGTAACAATTGAATTTCAAATAAATAGATTGATTTATAATCAATTTATTTGAAACAATTTTTATCATTTCGGATAAATGAAAAATAATGAAACTTCTTCTGCGTGGATATAAAACTCAAATTTGATTTATAACCTCCATTAGAATATCTCTTTCGTTTAGTTTGTAAAGACCTTCAAAATTATCATGACTTAGTGGCACCTTTTAACCTTTAACGTTCTTCTATTGCTAGAACACAATAAAAAGACTTAACAGTCTGTCGTGTTGAGGCGCCACGACATAAATTTCTCTCTTTTAAAACTTGATGTTTCCTACGTGTCTTTGTCATCAAATAGTTTTACGACTATATATTATGTACTCCAGAAATAATATTCTTCTAAATAGTAAAGAGCCTTTCAAATTCAAAAGGACATAGCTACCTCGTTGTTCTTGTAAACAGAAATCAAAAATCCAAAGGATGTTGTTTGATGTTTCAAAAACTTTTTTGTTAATTTAGTAATAATGATGTTGACAGGTTTCATAAAAGTTTTAAGGTTATTTTTTATTTTCATAACGTTTCAATAGCCGATCGGCCATCCTCTTCAGAAAAAATACAACTATAAGAAGAAAATTTTGATATTAAAATAAATTACTGAACAATATTCAAATTAATTATACAAATTATAAAAACACTTACAGGTTATGTTTAGAAAAATTACATACATTATAATTGCTCCATAAGAAGACTTAAATTAAAATTCTGATGAGAGTAATATCTTCCTCATGTCGATGACATGAGGTAGCATCATGCTCCTTGTTTTTTATATACTTATTTTATTAAAATAATTTTTTCCTTTATTCACAAAATACATGCCTCATGTAATCGACTTGGGCAAGAGAAGGTTATGTATCAAAATTGTAATAAGCAGACGACGTATAAATCAGGTGTCAGTATGTGTACAATTATACAGTGCGTTGGAAATCATATTCCCAAGCAGCACGGTATATCCCCTGAATATCCCTTGAATACCACTGTGGAATATTTGCATGATCTTCCAGGAAAATCAAAATGTCCGCATCATGGGAATATTCCACAGTGACATTCAGGGTATATTCCACTGACATTCAGGGTAATATTAAAGGAATATTCCAGTGATATTGAGGGAATATTTTACGGTTATATTGAATTTTTTTAAGTGTTGAAATAATAGAAATGTGTTATAAATTGTTATTTGAATAAGCAGGAAGATTAAAAACACATTTCAAAAAAAAATTCAATGTAACTATGGAATATTCCCTCAATATCACTGGAATATTTCCACAATATCAGCTGAATATTCCCTTAATGTCACTGGAATGTACACGAAGAGAAATAATTGGTTAGGCTATGCAAAGTATTGGATAGTGTAGCAATTTTTGTTGGGCTCTATAGGGCGATCAAATTAGTTTGCTGCTGCAAATATTTCTGTTGCATACTCTCAAGTTGGATACTGTAACAAATTTCGATAGCTAGTATATACATTCCGTTGAATGCCTCATCCATCTCTCTTGCGCACAGTTACCTTTAATTTTGTTAGTACAACTATTTTGATTGGTGGGATATCTATCCCTTTTTTAATAATATTTAGAAAAAAAATAGATTTAATTAAATAAAAATATTTTTCATACACGATACGATAATAAATGTTTTTTTACTATAAAAACAAACATTTACTTGACCGGATATGAAATTTTTTTATTTGATTCCATTTATATAGTCACTTATATGGTAAATAATAATTCATTTATAGACATCAGTGAAATTATAATAAATGAAAATTTATTTTCATTTCTCTTTTATACAGTATTCAAACGCATAGAGAAGACCAGACTTTTTTATCGCACTTCCATGATGACAAATGTTATGGTGCTTCGGTTTTAGTGTGTCTTGAAATAAACAGATATACATTTTGTGATGTTCTGATACTAAATTATCTAATAATTCCACGCAATCCCGATGAACAGCTGGAGCCATTTCAATGTCGACTATCATATGAAGTGTAAGGAAGAAAGTCCATACTTCGTCATGAGAAACAATGTCGCCAACAAGAAACACTACGATTAAAACTTTTCACGAGACGCGACGATATGAACCGTCATTACAAGCGCGGCATCCATATGCAATTAACACAATGCGCTTGCGCGTCACATTACTTACCGGTATGCATCTCAATTGGTTGCCTCAAGCCACTTGGTTGATGACGGTGGCCTACTACAAGCATGCAATATCCAATTCAAATATAAATTTTAAAATGATAATGTGACCAACGGTGATGGTTGATATATCATTTTAGATAGAAGTTACAACAAATTCTCTGTTATCCAATAAAAAATGAATGCATTAGCCAACCATTTTTCTCCGTGTACCCTGAATGTCATTATGGACTATTACCATGATGCGGACATTTTGATTTTCCTAGAAGATCATGAGAATATTCCACTGTGGTATTCAACGGATATTCAGGGAATATACCGTGCTGCTTGGGTTATATTAATTTAAAATTCTAATCATATAAAATATACAAAGTGGCAATTAGAAAACCAAAATTAATGCCAGAATATGGCTTCAAAAATATTAAGATTAACCAGATTTATTTGAAAATTGACCTTAATTTTACGAGTAAATTTTTAGAATAAAAAGTCATTGTATCAATTACTTATATATAAACAGTTTATAATAAAAAGCATAAATATTGAATCTACAAACTAAAGTAGCGTTTACTGAAAATTTTTGTGAATTTGTAGTTATTAATAAAATATGCTTTCCATTAAAAACAACTAAATAACCTTTTCCCGAATATTGTTTATTTTTATTACCTCATGGTAATCATAACATTGAATAAAATAAGCTAAATAATTCAAGGTCAGACATGTGTACAAAATAATTGATAAGATATTAAATGATAACTATATAAATAATAACAAAATAATAATAATAATAATAATAATAATAATATGTAAATATAAAAAATACTTCAAGTTAAGGAAAATACATAGGTTTACATAAAATGATGAAAAACATATAAGTTTCCTTATTAACAATAAAGCAAATGCTTTTAATTTCATTGACAAGTAAAAAATGAGATACTACAGCTTGTTTCCTTATTTAATTATTGTAAGTAACTTATTCTTTATTTTTGGAAATAGAAATAAAATAAAATTCCAGCTTTGAAAAATTAGGTATATATTGATATTGTGTATGATTCTGTAGTGATTCTTTTTTGAACAAGTTCATTTAAATAGTATTAAAATTGGAATTAAAAAAAATATTGCACATCATGATTATAATTGATTGATGATTATTAGCACTACATATATAGAGTACATAATTTTCATTTGGCTAAATAGATTCTCATTATGGGAAGTTCTGTAAACTCAAGTGAATATGGATTCAGAAATCCCCAAAAATTATCAACACTTGAAGAATGCAGACGTATCTGTATGGACAACGAACCACCTCGATATTGCTATTATCACTTTGCTATCGAGTATTATCACACGATGGGCAGGTAAATTTTCAAAAAAATACTTAATTGCTTAATAAACAATGATATACTAAAAAATAATTAATACAATTTATTTGTCAAACAGTCCTTGCTTTCCTTGCCGACAAAATGGTACTGATCTATTGCTAAACAAACCAAACTGTCAATGCATTGAAGCTGATGGTAAAAAGAGAACAATTTTATCAATTAACAGATTATTACCAGGTCCAAGCATTCAGGTGAGCATTTAAAATATCCCCAAAAGATTGTATTTTTCTTCATGAATATAACGTTAACAAATTTAATTAATTAATATTCAAGTTATGTGAGCGCGACATATTAATAGTAGACGTAGAAAATAAAGCTGAAGGACTTGAAATGAGTATGCATTGGCATGGACAATTATTAAATGGATATCAATATTACGACGGTGTTCCAATGGTTACACAGTGTCCAATACTGGCTGGAAGTACATTTAGGTGAATTTTTTTTTTTTTTTCATTTTTCCAGAAGAAGTTAAAATATAATTCTTTAATAGGTATCAATTTCCTGTCATCAATCCTGGTACATTTTTTTATCACGCGCATGTCTCAACGCAAAGAATGGACGGTCAATTTGGAAGTTTAATTGTACGCCAAACGTCAAGTCAAGATCCTCATTGGTCTGAATATGATGAAGATCTTCCTACTCACATAATAATTATACACGATTGGTTTCATTATTTGTCAAGTGAAGAGCATCCAACAATTTCCGAAGATGCTCTACTACCACCTAATAATATTTTGATAAATGGAAGAGGTCGCTTTCAGGTAAACAGATTTTAGGTTTCCTATTGTCTTAACCTTTATAAAATAAGAAAATTTGCATTATCTGTTCCTGCATTTGAGTAAAAAAAACAATTTATTTGTTTTGGGTTTTTTAATTGAAAAAATAACAACGATTTCCAGGATTCAGATGGAAAAGTAACAAATGCAACTTTAGAAACATTTTACGTCGAACCAGGAAAAAGATACAGATTCCGTCTTATCAATTCGATTAGTTTGAGATGTACCGCAATGTTTACAATAGAAGAACATAATGTTACCGTCATTGCGCAAGATTCTATTCCAGTTTCTCCAGAACCAGTAACTTCTTTACATTCAGCTGGAGGTAAGTTATAAGTTACAATATCCCATTTTTATACTTTGAAAACTTTTTCCTCTTTTCAGGTGAAAGAGTAGACTTTATCTTGACAGCGAATCGAAAACCGGGTTCTTATTGGATTCAAGTGCGAGGATTAAATGATTGTGCAGAGAAACAAAATCAACAATTGGCAATTCTTTCCTATTCAGGTGCTTCCAAAACACCACAATCAACTATGCCTACATACAAAAATTATCTTCCCGAAGGAAAGGTACGAAATAAATTTAAGGGTATACTTTAAGATCTTTGAGAAAGATGAAATAATTTTTTATACCAATTTAATTTCACTTTATTTTAGGTTCATAATCCAAAGGATGGCAAATGTGATGAATTAAGATCAAATGCGATCTGTGTTACTCAGCTTAAAAGTACATATCTTTTAGATAAGAAACTGACTAAAGGCGAACCAGATCAAAGATTTATTTTTCCTCTTGATGTACATGCATTTGATTATGGAGAGAAAAATCCTTACTACAGTACAAATGAGTTTTATAAAAAATCCCCTTGTGAGTATACTAAAGTAATATTATTATAATAAGAAATCAGAGAAAATAACAATTAACATTTTTCTCTGCAGATCCAACTTATCCTAGATCCGCAATAGCGTCAATAGATGGTATATTAAATGTAGTACCTAGTGAACTTTTAATTACTAGTAATAAATACTCGAAAATTACTTGCAATCGAAAACATATTTCTACTAATCAATGTCCAGATCCATGTTATTGTACCCATCTTGTGGATATTAAAAAAGATGCTATCGTTGAAATCATTTTATATGATAAAGGTAAATTACATACTATAATAAGAAAAATTGAAAAATCTTTTCAAAATTAATAATTTATAAAAATTGTTTTAGCTGGTATTGAAGGTGTTTTACATCCATTTCACTTACATGGATATAAATTTACGGTTTTAAAAATTGGACAAGAAAGAACTCAAAATTTAACTCTTCGTGATGTAAATTCGATTTTGAATGAGCATAAAAGCATTTTAAGTTCAACTGGCTACAGTCGTCATACGCCAATGAAAGACACTGTTATTGTTTCAACAGCAGGATACGTTATATTGCGTTTTATTGCTGATAATCCGGGTATAATGATTATGAGATTCTAGATTTTTCTGTTAATATTTATACCTAACTTATTTATTTACGCACTATTTTTATTTATTAGGATTTTGGAGTTTTCACTGTCACATTGACTGGCATATGCTTGAAGGAATGAATATGGTCCTGCACGTTGGTAACCGTGAAGATCTTCCTCCAATTCCAAAGAATTTTCATACGTGCGGATCCTGGTTACCAGCTATGTAATTTTTGATGATCCAATAATAATTATACCAACTTTGAATAAAGGATTATAGCACATTATTTTATGTTACAGATTTTGGTTATTTATTTCATAAATAGTGTATACAAATTTTATTGCCCATAACTTGTTGAGCCGTTTTTGAGAAAACTCATTTTGAAAAAAGAATTAGTTTTCTTTGAAAAATTTAATACACTAATAATAATTTCACTAACGTTTAAAAACAAAAATAGTCTGGCTGGACCTAGCATGGTGCTCCTGAGTGAATTTAAATAACATTTTTAGGTAACTAAAATTTCGAAGCAAATTTTGTTTCTAGGTGGTAATAGGATGAATAAAACATAAAAAAGAAAAAAATCCACTTGGCGCTTTTTTAGGCAGCGAAAATAAGTTTTTATTCATGATTCGCGTACAAAACTATAATGTATTTGCGCAATACCTCGGTCATTCTTTAGTTTTTAAACTAATTTTCTGTTAACCATCTCTTGTAAGCATAACCTAACATCAAATGTCATTTTTATACTATTTTATTTTATGCGACAAATATAATTTTATCCTTTATTAAACTAAAAGTAAGTTTACAAGGTAGTACAACAAAATATAATTGTTTAAGATTTAATTTATTTCTTCTTAAATGACTTGAGGCATAACCAACTGTCAGAACAAGCAAACTAGAAGAGAAAAAAGTTTCCAAAATAAACTAAATGAACTATATGTGCATAATACAAGCCAAAAAGCAAAGAGGTAAATCCGAATGATAAATTCGAGATTGAGTCAAAAGCGTTTATCATTTGGAAAGGGACTAGCCGAATACAGAGTACAGATTTTCCTATGCGTTGAATCCGTTCATAAGACAAAATAGACTCCGAGAGAAGAACACATGAAAGAATCAAATTCAAAACACATAGGCTAGATGTAAATTAATGTGAATAAAATTTATCTCAATTTCAATTTCTGTTGATAAAACAAAAGAGAAAAAACAAAATGAAATGGTCGACTGTTGAAGCTGAAGGACTCCTTCCGAGGTAAAACAGAGTGAAACAAACTTCGGCTTGTTTCAAAAACATCAATGACTACTGTAACGACAGAACGTTGTAAACACCGATTTTCAATCACCTTGAATATACTTAAAACCTTGAACAAGGGGTATACAATTAAGATATTAAAGTATCGAAGACCACAGCTCTGCAAGGTCACAGAAAGTCAACAATGAGTCACTCTAAACTCGAACAGAACCATGAAAAATCGTGGAAAAAGCACGGCAGTGTAAAACAACTCGAGTTAGTATATAACAATAGAAGAAATGAGCCCTTCAGAAAAAAAGGGGGCAAAAACTCTTAACAATTTAGCAGAACAATTGCAATGAAAGAGAGTAAAAGTCTCACACTTGCTTGATAATGCAGGGAGTGCCGGAGCAGATTTCTTCCGTACGGAGGAGCAAAGTTCTAACTCCTCGACCGTTAATTTATATACTTAATTCCTTTAGGATGTTCCTTCCGAATTATGAGAAGTCTGGGAACCACAGTAATTACTGCTACAATAAAATTAAGCTACATCAATTTAGAATCATAAATATTTCCCAAATTTCGAAAACACACGAAAAAAAAGTAGAATTTTTACCCCAAAATCGGTATAAAAATTACCTGCAACAAATTTTATCCTAGTTGAGGGCGCCACCGTCTATGTGAATTAGCATTGGTGAAAATTACCCGCAACAAAATTAACCCAGCGTTTTTTCTGTGAAGAATTAATTTCATTGAAATTGGATATAAATTCAAAAATTATATTCGATAAATATAAGGACGAGTTTTTTTTAACAAGGAAAAAGTATATATATATATTTCTATAAGCGATATAAATGCAACAAGTAAACAAGTGAATCCGGCGCTGGTGCTCATTATGATGATTGGCAGATTCAATTAACGAGGAAGCTGACTCCTCCGCGGTTGGGTAGCCCCGGCTTAACCTCAACTAAATATTATTAATAATAATCAGCTCATTACTGGCTCCATTAATTATCTGGTTATGCGAGCCAACAGCGAACCAGATTCGACCCGGGTCAAACAAGTCGATCCTCCTGGAATCACTTTGGCCCACCCTTGATCTCATAAGTAGAAGGAGCCTATACAAGCGAATAATTTGTTGCGTCCAACATGATTGCACATCATCGAACCTGCAAGCCATTACTCTTCCTTGGAAAAATTTCGCAACAAGTGTGTACCATTTCTTATAAGACTCATTTCTCATATAACAAGATAATATTCTTAAATCAACCCTGAATTATCAGGCCTTTCTCATTCATGTCATCCCAATAATGATTTTCAAAGAAATTTTACTTCCACAAAAAAAGATAATAATCTATTTATTCATTTATAAAAATAGTTTTCTATTTAGTTAATTTGGTTTCTTTGTTATATTTCTTATAATTCTTTCTTACAGAATGTAAATATTTTTTTGGGAGCAGTACAATACATCATTAAAAAACTTCAATGCACCATTTCTGAAAAAGTTTTGAATAAAATGTGAAAATATGATTATAGAAAATGTTGACAGAAATATATATATATATGAAGAAAATGAATACATTTTGATATACATACTGCGTTAATCGATTTAACAAACTCATTATCCATGAGATATTTGGAACGTTTACCGCGAGCGGCGCGAACGAAGGCTTCCATCGAGACGTACCGATAGCGGTTGGCACCCCTGCGGTTTGATTTACGGTCGCGCACTAACGAGCCTTAGCCAAGCAACGCACACGCGGTACTTACGCGATTCGGAGACGAAGAAGCGCAACATCGTGGAGGTATAGGGGCTTTAAAAAACCGACCAAGTGGAAATGTAACTTGAACGAACGATCTCTCTCTGAATGTATAGCCCGGGGGCTGATTGGCCCGTATTTGGTTATAATTAAGGCACCGGCGGCGGCCATTAGCGACCACGCATCCAACAACATTGTTCCAGAAGGACCAAGAGAGCCGCGGCGCGTAAATCAAATTGTGCATCCTATTTCTCCTCCCTCTTTAACGTTTACTCTCGCTTCAACTCTTCACGGTTCAGAGCCAATGTTTTCCTTCTACATAATATTTGATACTGAATGTTTAATGTGCTTTCAATTTTTATATTGATGAATTCCTTTCAGACTATAGAATTCTGTGGCTGAAAGGCATAACAGCATATATATCTGCATTTATCATAATTTCATGAAAAATTAGTTTTAATGTTCTCGTAGTTCTCTTAAATCGAAAAATTAACAGATATGTTTGGTATTTGTCATTTAGTCTAACTATTTAATGTATTTATAAAATATGTTTATCATTTTTTGTAAAAAGTACGAACTGAAGGAAAATTTAACATATTTCTGGTCTACCAGGAAAATTTGATGCACTTGTGCGATTACGCAGGTCAAGTTTAAATATATAACCAACTAACATCGTTAAAAATACACAAATCCGGTATTAACTCAAATTTCATAAAAATGTCAATTATGCTGTTATGCCTTTCAGCCAAAGAATTTGAACTCTTGATTTTATTAAAAAAAAAATTTTTGATCAGAAAGTATAAATGATCTTTTATTTTCTGTGTTAAACTTGTAAATTTTAAGAAGCTTTGGGGGAGGACGATTACCCCCTTTGCCCAACCGCGGATCCGTGCCTGTCAAATTAAAACAAAAATAAAATCAGATCATAAATCTCAAGCAGAGCATTTATCAAAATTGAAAGACAAAATAGGCAAAAGAGAATTCACTATCACAGAGAATTTTTCAGAAAATTACACTTTTAAAATACAAAATGAAATTCAAGTACAACATTGGCTTAAAGACCAAATCACGCTACATGTTCATATATTATTAAAAAAGAGGGCAATTTACAAAACGAAAACTGTGTAATTTTTTTGGAAAATTTTCAATACGACTCGACAGCTGTTTACACTTGTTCAAAAAAATATTAATTGATCATTTAAAAAAAAAAAAATTTGTGCCAAAAATTAGAAAAATTTTATTAATTTTCCGATGGAGCCACGTTTCGATATAAAAACAAATATAATTTGTTAATTTTGGCTAATCATAAAAATAATTTTGGAATTGATGCAGAGTGGGACGGATTAATAGGTATAGTTAAAAGGCATGCATATTTCCACGGAGGAATAGTAAGGAGACCGATCTACTTTGGTGGTTGAATACAATGCACTGAACCTGGCACTTATCGTACATGTTTTTCTGACATTTTCAAACGCAGAAATCGGTCTCCTTACTATTCCTCCGTGTATATTTCACAACTCTGCCTTTGTTTAAATGAAGAGCATGAAAATCATAAGAAAAGTTTACAGTTACAATTTTTAATTGCTAAAACAATTAGCAAACAATTATTAAATTAATAAAATAGGGAATCATAATTGACCAGAAAAATACGAAATTAGGCGAAGAAGGTTATTTTATATTCATTTGGTTATAATGATTGATGCTATTTTAAACAAATTACAAACAAAATCAAACAAATTTTTTTTGTTTAAAAGTTTGATTTTTGTATATTACTCATACCAAATTTTAGCAAAATCCATGCTTAAAAATTCGACGTTTTCTTATGATAAAGTGTTTATTCAAATTTCAGAGCAATAAAATGTTAACTCAGAAAATTGGGTTAGGGTCAGTTGGGGTAAATGAGGACAAGAGGTTTTGGAGCTTAATTTACAGTTTTAAAATTAAGTTCAACGTTAATATTTTAACTTCAGATCACCTGCAAGAGGTTTTAAGTATTGCCAAGCTTTTATCTTGACAATTGGCAACAAGATAATTCAACTTATCACTCAATCCATAAAAACTTGAAAATCAAAGTCAAACAGTTTCAATATTTTGTTTCGCATTTGAAAAAAAAAAATTAAAAATCATACCAAATTTTTTTCTTATTCCTTATGACTCCTATAACAGAAATTCACTTGAATTTTTGATTTTTGTTAATTTGGTTAATAATGACAAGCTGTCCCCATTTACCCTGAGTTTTCA